AATGACATTTGTTTTTTTTTTTTCTTGATCATAAACCACAATATTTCTTGATCATAAACCACAATATATAGGTAATTTTGGATATTGGCAAATTGAAGCTGTTAGGGCAGCCTTGCATAGCCCCCCCAACACACACACGATAAAAATACTGTTTTGTATTTTTCTACCGTTCATTTAAGTATACAGCAAGGATCTGTAGGTCTTCACCACTGGGTTATACTGCCAACTGCAGAGGTAGGACACTAGACGCAAAAGACAGCATAGGGAAGACTCCAGCTGTTGCCCAACGCCCTGGTTGCTAACATATCATTTCAGTTTTTGCCTAATGTCAAGGAGTTGGGACCTAAGAATCTGTGCAGGGATTTATTTTTCTATTTTTTTTTTTTTTCCTGTTGGTTTTTACTAATGATATATTTTTATTCACATCAAGGAACTCTTTAAACAACAGCAGGCTAGGCAACAAACTAGATGTATTCCCCAGTCCTGCCAGCGAGGGCATGCAGTTCCTCACTTCAGCAGGTCTAGCTTAGAAGGCTCTGTGTCACGGCAGAGCAGCCTGTTAGTAGATCCTGATCAACCAGGCACAGTGTCCCTCTGCAGATAGAAGGTGCACTGGTCCAAGCCTGAGGTTATCTGCCTTCTCCCTGGAGATCCATCTCTCCACCAGGGTGGTATGCATGGTGCCATGTGTGTTGGCCACCTGCCTCTGTTGGAGGTGGACGTCCACGTTGCTCACTATTTGCATTGTGGGAGGTGGAGCGAGAAGCCAAGGCATTTTTTTTTTCTTGAGGAAGCAGCTTATTCTGGGCCAGGAGCCATTATATTTAACAAGGGCTGCTGCCAGTCTCTTTCACTTCCACCCGCAGCATCTTCCTGGATGCTGTATACATGGTCTTAATGGGGCCCCCTCTCCTTTTGATGTACAGCCTTAGTTGGTAAAGTGTGCCTCAGCTATGGCGGTGGCTGATGTGACTGGGCAGACTGCTGGGTCCCTGACAGATGAGAATTTGGGTAGAGGGTCTCTTAGTTTGCAAGGGTTGCAGCCTTCCCTGTGGGAGTGAGTCCCATCCCAGTGATGCTTGCACACCTGCCACTATGTTCCTTATAGCTGCCTACTTGCCGTTTCTACTACTATTCAGGATCTTCTGGCACCCCTCTGTCTTTTTACAGCTCTCTGTACTTTGGCTATGGTTGGCTTTGTTTTACTTAGTGTGTCCTGTCCCACGCTTTCTCCAGTAAACTGCCGCACATATCCTGTCCATGGTGTCTGACATTAAGGAGCATATAATGGTGGCAGCTGATACACCTGGAGCTTCGGATCCCAGGTGGGATCAGTCTGGTAGTGACATGGAGACCTCAGAATCAGCCATCCTTTAGGGAAAATAACTGTTCTCGGCCCTTATCAAGTCTGTAGGGGAAACCTTAAGTTTAAAAATGTCCTGGTACCTTTTGGTAAATCTAAACTTTTTGCATTTCAACGGTCCCAGATTATCTCGGACAAGTATACCTGCGAAGTGATCGGATTGGGTCTACAAGATGGTTTCTTTCTTGTTCTCCAGATCAGATTTCCACGTCCAGCTGCCATCTATCTCCTAAGCTGCTTCAGGATCTCCCCAGGGCAATTGCAAAGCTAACGCTATAGGCGGTGAACCACTATCCTGCTAATGCGTTGGACAGTCCTTAACCCAATTTTAACCTCCCTGGCGGTAATCCCGAGTCTGGCTCGGGGTGAATTTTCAATGCTAGGAGCGGTAACCCCGAGCCAGACTCGGGGTTGCAGAGAAAAGTGACACTCACCTTGTCCCTGCGAGCCCGTGGCGTCCTCTGCTGTATGCGGCCCGAAAATGTATTTTTTAATTTCGTGTTTCAAACTTTATCATACCAGGGATGTCTACTGGACTCTTGTTTGGACAGATTTAGGTGAGTTATTCCTAAGATTTACCAAGAATTGCAGGCCTACAAATTTCCATGCAAAAAATTGTACCGCTTTTGGTACAAAATTCCTGACATAATCATACCGCCAGGGAGGTTAATAATTTAAGGAACCTCTTTTATTTTCTATTGCGTGATGCAGGCCAATAATTTGACCCTTTTAAAAAACTGTTACATCTTTTCCAGGACCACAGGATATGTCTTCCGACGTGTGTGTTTTTAAGAAATGAGAAGCTCCTCACCTAATCTTACATTGTTTGCTATCCACAAGCAGAAAACCTGCAGATTCCATGTTAGGAGACAAAGGGGGTACTTTTGGACTTCCAATATAGGGAGATGCAGTGAGATCAGGTCACAGGATATTGTCAACACAAGATACATTGGTACGAATTATGTCTTTCTATTCTTGGTGTGTACAGATGCCATATGATTTTCAGTAACTTTTGATGCACAAGGTTTAGCTATTGGGCTTGGTAGCCAGAATATTCTAGCAGTTTTTTGTACAGTAAAGGCCACATGATCAGAACTTAGACATGGGTTATATGCAGCTACCTTTAGTTGAGTGGACACTGGCAAGCAAACTTATAAGGACAGCCTCAAAATAACACCTCCCATTCCCGGGAAGTTTAGAAAAAAAGGCTTCAGTTTTGGTCACCAACTCTCAGGAAAGATGTTCTCAAACTTTGAGAGTTCATAGAAGGGCTACAGAAGTAATAAGGGGGATGGAAGGCCTAAGCTATGAAGATCACCTCAAGAAATTACATTTGTTCTGTACATTTGAAAAGAGGCGCTTAAGGGGGGAACCTAATTAATTGCAATTCTCAAAATCATAAATAGGGACATTATTCGGTAGAGGTGCACCAAAATTAAATTTTCAAAAACAAAACTGGAAAAAAAGTCAAACCAAATATTTTTTTTCTAACCTTTGCAAAATTTTAAATATATTTTTATTAAATATTTTTATTTTTTTACTGTTGGGGCTTCGGGGAAATATTAGGGGTCTAAACAGATACCTGATATTTCCCTTTTGATGTTTTTTGCAATTACACCTGGATGACCATAACAATTGCAGATATCGTAACATAAATCTGTTTGGAGTGGAGAACACCTTAGGAGCTGATTGGAAAGCAACAGCCACTGGAATTCTTAACTCTATTCTAGGGAGACCACCTTCCTCTACCCTGGAATTGGATAGAGTACACCTTGCCCAGGGACATCCTAGGAATGTACACTTAATAGTTAAGGATGAAATCATGCTTCAATCCTGCAACAAGGGGTGGATCAACATAACTATTATTTTGGATCTAGCCCACTGCACACTTCAGATGTGTAAGAAGATATTGAAAACGGTTTTGGAGATAATCTAGTAGAGTACCACCACCTATCTGGGGCTATCCTATGCACTTTCTGATCTCTAGGGATGGGGAAACATGCATGTATTGCAAATATATGCACTGCATATATATGTTTTTGCCCTAACATACCTTAATGCCTTTTTTTTTTTTTTTCAGTTTAGGGGGATTAATTTTGGACAAAACTGTGTCTGACCCAAATTTTGCTGGAATAGCAGTTTTTACTCCAGTCATAAATGGTAAGTTTTTTTTGTTTTGTTTTATCCCTATGATAGGTACTGTATATGATATTTCTTAAAAGTGTGAGTATGAGTTCTTTCAACTCTGCATCTACGAAAAACATTGCTTCTTGACAATTATAATTTGTAAGGCAGCCCATAGATATCAGGCTTGTATTCCAATCCTATAAATCAGATCAGAAAATGATTGTATATCTAGGGGCACATTGCAAAGCTTGTTGATGCTTTTGGGTAAATGTTCATGGAAAGGGGCATTGAATCTAGCATTGAAAATATATTTTACCTGCTATTTAATATTGTTTTCCTGAGATGGATTGTTGCCAGGGACATCTTGGTGCAAAAGCATGCATACTAAGGCAAAATGATAAAGCATATTTAAAAAAAAAAAAATCATCATTCTGTAGAATGATAATGCAGCAATGATTTCTCCAGCTGCTTTCTCTTTTTTCTATGGCAGAGCAGAAATATAATCTGCTTTGTAAACAATAGATTACTGGGTACTATAATGTACTATTGTAATTATTGTTTGGGGTTTTTTTTAATGCTCTTAAATATACCTGCCCTCCAACATCATTGAATGATGGCATAGAGCAGTGGCCACCCACTTTTCACAATGGTCTTCACACCAAACTAGTGCTGAAAAAAGGGTGGATATGCCTTCAGGTTTGTTAAATGATGCAGTTTACTTAGCAGCAGAGTCAAACTGGTGCTTAACTGTTTAGTCCTATTTCACTCTGCATAACTGCTGTACAAAGGAAGTGAAGGCAAGACTATGAACTACAACTTGGCAGTGGCTATCCAAGAAGAAATTCCCTATTGGAGACCCTTGATTTATCTGCTTCTGAGGTGAGATCCACTCTGCCCCTGCATAATGTTTGTTTAAATTGACACTAAATGCAGGAATTCAGTCTTAAAAATGCATTTAAGTACCTTTAACTATTTAACAAAACGGTATCTTATCTGTGTATCACTTGGCTGTACTGTAGATCCTCAAATCATCTCTGAATTTGTGCTGACACTGTCCTTCCTTCTGCAGGGTGGCTGCTTCTATCCCCCATGGTCCCTGTGTGTGTTAAATGAACTTAAGGACACCACTCCTAGCCCCCGCTGTGCATACCTTTTGCGTACCTCTGCCAATCCCTCTCCCCATCCCGCCGGTGTACGATCTGCATGCTCATGTGACCGTGCTGACCAATGAGCACTCTGCGAGCACCATACTGAATGCTCACTGCAGTGCATGGACTGCACACTGGGTTTCAGGGGGGTTGTTTGGCAGTGGCAAAACAAAGATATGCACAGCAGGGGCCAGAAGAGGCGGTGGAGTGATGTGGTAAGTAAATTTTCTCACATTTTTTGGGAACGTGAACGAACCCTTTAATTTACATCTCAAAAATAAAAACGTAATAACGTTTTGGTATATGCTACCAGAGACATAGCATAAGCTTTTTAGAGCATATTGCCAATCCCTCTACAAAGTAGCCATGGTTGTCAACTTTCCTCATTCTAGTACACCAGAACATAAGATCTTAGACTACTTGTCTTTCGTGCATATACTAGACAAACTCTGGCATTACATCTGACACGGGAGGAAAGAAAGCCATGCAAACTATGGACCCGGGTAAGAGTCCTGGCACTGAGGGGCTCGATGCCGCATACTACAAGGATTGTAAAGAAATACTGATCCCTAATCTACCTGCTTATGTAACGTGTGGCCACCAACTTGCTCAAGAAACTTCCCTTGCTCACATTAGTCATACCAAAGCCTGCCCTAACCAGCCCACCAACCCTGCCAGCTACAGACCTATTTCTTTAACATATACAAGATATTATTTTTCAAGAGAGGAGGGTCCTAGTGCTACACCCCAAATATAGTGAAATGTGCACTGGCCATGCATCTTAATACATGTCTATAGGAAAAAAAGATGTTATTGCTGGTCATATAGTCCTTTTAGGTGGATAATGAAGTGATCTGCACTGTAGAGTGTCCTACATGTTTCCCCACATTTGTGGCTTCTTCAGGAGAAAAATCCAGATCGCTATAAGGTAGTAAATGAATAGATCACATTAAGTCTTCTATTCTATTAATTACATGAATGCACTGCATAATATAGACCTAGATACCAGCGATGGCTTACTGCAAATCGATATGACCACATGCAGAGTGTTGCATCAAATCCTAAAACAGAAGGACACAGTTTTGGAGCCCAAGCATTCAACCTCCCCCATGAAAACTGCAGGAAGAGCGACAAAGTGGAGAAGGACTAGGCCAATAGTGAAATGTCCTAACAATGAAAAGATCAATGTTCAGGTCAGGCGAGTTTGCTGGCCAATCAAGCACAGTAATCCCACGGTCATTGAACCAGGTTTTGGTAGTTTGGGCAGGTGCCAGGTCCTGCTGGAAAATTAAGTCAGCATCCCCATCGCGCTCGTCTGCAGAAGGAAGCATGAAGTGCTCCAAATGTTTTGATTTGTAATTTGTAGTATTTTTTTTACAAAACCAGCACAGCTAGAAAAAATGCAATAAATACATTCATTTGTCCCTTTATTTTATTTTTTACACATTTTTTTTTTACACTTTTCACTTTTTTTTAACTTAAAAATGTTATTTTATTTATTTAATTATATCAAGCAGTCATTGTGAATTAATCTCGCTGTTACTGCTTGATAAATTAATAAATTTTTGGTTATTATCAGGCTGCTTCAAACTTCAGAACAGCCGATAATAAGTTAGTGACACTGATCCTGCAGCAGTTCAGGATTCAGCTGTCACTAAAGGTTTTCTGATTGTTGCAACAATGATCAGCAAACATTCTTATTTCAGGAATACATACATTATAGGAATAGACACATTATGTATCTATTCATGAAAGAAAAAAAAAAAAGCCAGTATAGCTTGAGAGAGATATATCTCGATCTATACAGCTGTCAGAAGGCATGTGTGTCAGCTCTGCTTTGACTCTCAGACACCCGATATTAAGGTATCGGGTGTCTGAAAAAGGTTAACCCTTTCATTAATGAATGCCTCTGTAGTAAGGGCATCCATTAATGAATGTTAAAAGCTGATTCTCAGCGGTTAACAGCCCTCTAAAGCAGCAAATAACTCGTCACGTACAGTGTACGTGACAAGTCATTTGGTCCCTTTGTGGCTGGACGTACAGTGTACGTCTCCCGTCACGAAGGGGTTAAGTTGCATTAGTGAAATAAATGAACTTTTGCACGATATTCTAATTATTCGAGTTTCACCTGTATGCATATGGCAGAGGTCTACCAAAGACCAATGCACACAAATTAGATTCCACAATGAGTATTAACATATTACTAGACTCCTCCAACAGGTAAACGGCAAAACGAAACCTCTAAACTAGATCTTGCACACAGACTCTTATACAACAAGGTATGGTGACCAGCAGATGGTGTAGAAAGAAAAACACTTGATCCAGATCACATACCTGTTTCTGTGACTGAGAACGCATTCAGAAAGGCTTCCTGCATGTCACCAGGTACTCTCTCTCCATTTTATATATGCTCCCCTCATCACCCAGACATCACAAATTCAATCAGATGTGTGACTGAGTGAAGTGGAGCTGTGCGTGTGCGGCCAAAGCGTCAGCACACGTGCACTAGCAGCTGCCCGGCAAAGGAGGTGGGCCCCAGATGACGTAGCTCCACACTTTTTTGCCCGCGCTTGCCGGCCATAGGTTGACTGTGAAAGGCAGTCATTCCCATTGGCCTACCCTCAGACTTCTTCGAGGGTTCTGTATATGTGTGGAGATTCCAATGTAGAGCAAAATCCAAAATTGGACCTCAATTCATGTTTCTTACTTCCATATGTTTAAAGAGTTGCTGGTGACATACAAACTTGTAGATGTTTGGAGGGAACTTCATCCATTTACAGGAGACTATATGTATCAATCAGCCCCTCACTATAAGTTTACTAGGATTGACCATGTGCTTATACACTGAAATCTCCTTCCTGTAACCATTGCTGCTGGAATCCTGGCCATACCATGGTCTGATCATGATGCGGTCTCCTTTAACTGTATGTGTCTTGATATCTGACCAAGGTGCATCTAGCCGGTTACTCAATTAATCCCCCTTGTCCCGTGGGGATGTTAGAGATGCATTGGGACAGGTGACTCTTGATTACTTTCATCCTAATGGTTTGGGGGGCTTACAAGGCAGTGTTGAGAGGTTGTTATACAGATGGTGGCTCAACATGATGCCTCGGAGGAATTTAAACATAACCCCACCCCAGACCTTAACCGGAAGTTAAATAACTTTAAGACTGAGCTCAAAATATGTCCTATGGACATAGCTGAACGTCAACTTCGCTGGGCAGGAATAAAAGTAACAAACCAGATTCCATTATTTGCTAATTGTGTTCGATTTGTTGAACGTAAATTTGCCCCTATTTTCTGGCAAAATAGGCTCCCATCATCTTACCTGTGGAGCAATGTGTTTCTCGTCCAGTTGTTTTTCATGTCGCTGCTCCCACTTCTGTGGACGCAGATGAACCAGCAGTTGCTAAGGGTATGTCTGGTTCAGCTCCTCTCCCTCAGCGTTTGGTGCCAATTGAGTTGTTCTTTCTGCTAAGCTGTACACTGCAGCAAAAGCAGAGGCATTCTTCAAAAACCTGCAGTCCCTCGAAGACATAATGCCTCAAAGTTAGTATAGCTATCAAGTCTCTCAAGATGGCCAAGAAACCTGATCTTGATGGATACTCATTATTTTTTTTATAAACTCTCAGATTCAGTGAAGTTTCTCATTCATCCAGGTCATGGTATATCTGTAAAAAAATAAGTCAAGGCAACTGGACTCGCTGTATTTTTCTTGAAGACGTTTCACTGGACATCCGACCAGCTTTCTCACTTCAGAAAGCTGGGCGGATGTCCAGTGAAAAAAGTAAGTGATTGGTTCCACCCAAGGGGATTGAATCTCAGAGAATATCTGTAAAAAAATAAGGCAACTGGACTTGCTATATTTTTCTTGAAGACGTTTCA